GATTATTAAGTAAGAGTGGAGAGAACGTGGTTTGCATTGCGATATTTGAAAACATGGCGATGTTTAACCTCAACCAAAAAAGGCAATGCACCTAGAAGGAAGACGAATATATATCTTAGTCTTACAGCAGATTACCTGCCCATGTTTGCTTTAGTATTACAGTTTTCGTCAAACTTCTTTTTGACTTGAACTTCTTTAATTTAAGAAGGTTTACTTATACATAATACATTACATCTAATTACAATTTTTATTTTTACCACTCAATGTATTTTGATTTTTCTATATCTTGCATTGTCATCTTAATTTTTGATCACCTTAGTAAAAATTTGCTTTAGATTATAAACTTCAAGTTTTAAAAAAACAACAACGTTATAGTATGTCGTGTCAAATGACACACTGTTTAAAATGTCTACATTTAAATTTCAACAAAATAATGACGTAAAACTAAATATGATATGACGTTAGCATACATATCATTCAATCTTTTACTATATATCCTTTACTCCTACTCCTGCTCCCCCTTCACAAACCTTCTCCCCCTTCACCCATCTGTTCAACCTTCACCCAACTACTTCAAAGTATTGGAACTAAATATAAAAGATTATTTCAAGATGTCTACTGAAGATTGGATACTTGTGGCCAGGAGTAACAATAAAGTGACTGAAATACGAATGACGAATCACACCGGCTTTAAATTGGTGATTGTTAGCCAAAAAACGTTAGTAAATAAATAAAATATAAGAAGACTTTTGTTCTAATTTTAGCCGCATACCTCACGTACCAACGTACCGGGTGACTATTACCTGCGGCCACCACCACTCTCCCTCTACTCCTCAGCACGTTCGACTTGACAGCCTGCAAAACCTGATTTAACGGTGGTTGGAAGAAAATTCCAACCCTTAAATATATTTTGTTTTCGCTGACCCTCGCTATAAGCGAATAGTTACAACCATTAATCTTTCATACATAGCAAGTGACGGTTCGTAGGACATGTGGAAATAATAATTTTAATATGATCAAAGAATGACCAGTCGTACGATATGTGAACATAGTTAATGGACAGAGGTCGCCTAATGAAAAAAGCCCGGGAGCCACAGTTAAGTGTGGGGTCATTAATCAACCGCGAGTGTCAAATCGACCGAGAAAAATGATTCATCACTACGCGGCGCGTGTCAAAAGGAAAACTTCGCTGGTAAATCGATGCGTGCCAGCTATCGTTAACGAGTAACAGCTGGCGTTAAATGGAAGTCGAGATAAAGAATTTTCTATTTTTGTATACGTTAGCGTTGGTCGATTATTTTAAAATAAAAAATTTAAAAACAAACAAAGAAATAAAAATGAATTTCAAACAAATAAACACCAAGTAAATAACAATTAAACAAATAAACAAAAATACAATTTAAAATTAAAAAATAATAATTTAAAAAATTTAAATATTTAAAAAATTAAAATTTAAAAATTTAATAAATTAAAATCAAATTACGTAACAAGTTATAAAAATTAATTTAAAAAAACGAATTAAAATTACAAAATAAAATTTAAAAATTGTTGCACCTGCACCTCCGCCAGGGAGTATTTTACTATATCTCGTTGTCCATCCTGCTCCACCCTCTTCAGCCTGCGCCTCACCCTTCACCCTACGAGTATTTAACTATATGTCTTTGTTCCCAGGCTGCGCCACCCTGCTCCACCCTCTTCACCCTGCGCCTCACCCTTCACCCTGCGAGTATTTTACTACATCTCGTTGTCCATCCGGCCTGCGCCAGCGCCATAATACCCAAAAGGGACCTAATATACTACTACAGCGTCACATTTTTGGAAACCACATCCAAAATGCTTTACGTTCTAATCAAGGCGTTTAAAATTAAAGATTCTAAATTGCACGAATTATGTTTTTGTTGACCAATTCCTCTTCTTTTTCGGAAGCAACCATAACCTTTACCGATCGACCACGCCGACCCCTGGCAAGGTTGTTTTAGAAGAAATTTTAAAATGTAATTTTTTTTGTAACAATTTTATGCTTACTAAAGCTTCATGGACATTTAAAAAATAAAAACCAATTGCACTTAAGTAAAACAGACAAAATTTTGTTGCGTACAATCATAGTGAATCGTTGCTGAAACGGCCATAAGGCAAATTTAGCATTATAATTTGCATAATAATACACAACAGAGATATAGCCTATATATATATATATATATATATATATATATATATATATATATATATATATATATATATATATATATATATATATATATGTTACAGTCAAAGCCCGAAGTCGGCCAATGCGCGCATTTGCCAATATCGCCTCCCATAGGTCGGTCAAAGTCCGAAACTTTGCTTTATTTCGGCCTTTGGCAGGCAAATCCGCAGACTGGCCATTGTGGACCGGCCAAAGTCTGAAATAGCTATTGATTTCAGCCTTTAGCCGGTCATTCGGCGGAGTGGCCATGGTGGACCGGCCAAAGTCTTAATTAGAATATCATCTGGCTTGGGACGACCGGCCAAAGTCCGAATTAGAAGATCATGAGCAGATTTTTTTTAATACCGTAAGGATCATGAAATTAAATCTTTATTAATTGTTCATTAAAGTAAATGACAGACACATTCAAATGTTTAATTGTACTATAGTCTCAATCAATCAATATCATCATTTGTTACAACAAGTTGAACTTTTATGGCATTTAGAATTATATAGCTGCTTGTTATTTTTACACTTACAGCGATGTGTTGTGCACTTAGTTGTGCATTTGCAGCCTTGGCCACCAGTCATTGATTGTGAAGATGCGATGGTTCGTAGTGATTTAAAGAATTTAACTCAAGATGCTAGGTAGATCTTATTGATATGCAAAGTAACCCAGACGGCAAATACAAGTTTATACTTAGTTACCAGGATCATTGAACCAAGTTCAATATTATTGCGAACAGAAGAATTTGCTTACCAGCTGCTGGATATCTTCACGATTATTGGTGCCCCAAGTGTGCTTCAATAAGATAATGGAAGATAATTTGTGAATCAAGTTATTTCTGAGGCCTGAACTTAAACTTGTTCACGGAAAACCAAGTCATACCCAAGGCCAAAGTTCAGTAGAACGTGCCAACTAAGATGTTCAAACATGATGATGACATGAATGCAGACAGATGAATCAGCTCATTGGGCTGAGAGTCATATGAAAAATCGTAAATTTCAACAAGGAATCCAACAATCGCCATACGAAGCCTTGTTTGGTTCAAAGCAAAAGTGGGACTTAGCACTTCAAATCTACCAAGAGAGGATCTCAATCTCGATAAGAAGATCTTGAGAACATTGAACAAGAAATTGAGGTTACCATAAATGCAACGACATCCACAGCTAACACATCTGCTGCCGTGGCAATAATGTGGCCAGCAGATTCTGTATAGTTTGTAAAAAACATTGTAGTGCCGCCCATTCTTGTGGATACTGCGACAAGGATGCCCATGCTATTTGCGGAATACCCAAGAACGTGCCAACTAAGATGTTCAAACATGATGATGACATGAATGCAGACAGATGAATCAGCTCATTGGGCTGAGAGTCATATGAAAAATCGTAATTTTCAACAAGGAATCCAACAATCGCCATACGAAGCCTTGTTTGGTTCAAAGCAAAAGTGGGACTTAGCACTTCAAATCTACCAAGAGAGGATCTCAATCTCGATAAGAAGATCTTGAGAACATTGAACAAGAAATTGAGGTTACCATAAATGCAACGACATCCACAGCTAACACATCTGCTGCCGTGGCAATAATGTGGCCAGCAGATTCTGTATAGTTTGTAAAAAACATTGTAGTGCCGCCCATTCTTGTGGATACTGCGACAAGGATGCCCATGCTATTTGCGGAATACCCAATAAAGCAGACGGAGGGTACGGAGTAAATATTACCTGCAGATTGTGTCACAATAAACAAGACATCATGGACAACAGGTCAGCAGCTCATACTAGCTTGCAAACTCAAGGTGCTAAGATGCTTAAAACATCAAATACAAAATTTCAACAAGCTGAAGTGGATGACGATGAGCGCATCCGTATACCAGATGTTGACAGAGGTCGCGGTGATCCCCGAAGCGTCATTTCGGTTGTCATGAGCGTCGAGGTCGCTTTCTACTATTTAGGAACGGAACATGGTGTCCTAAACCAACTGCATGCTAGAAGTGATTTTTCACTTCTACACAAAAAACTTCTCTTATTATCGGCAGTTGGAACTGAGAAAAAATCAATACGAACCACAATCCATCGCTTCTCCACAATCATTGACCGACGGCCAAGGCAAACAAAAATAGCTGCAACTGTATAAATAACGAGCTATTATGTAATTCTAAATGCCATAAAAGTTCACCTAGTTGCAACAAGTGATAATGATGATTGATTGAGACTATAGTACAATAAAATATTTGAATGTTTCTGTCTTTTACTTTAATGAATAATCAATAAAGACTTAATTTCATGATCCTTACGGTATAAAAAAAAACCCAAATCTGCTCATGAGCTTTTAATTCGGACTTTGGCCGGTCGTCCGTAGCCAGATGATCTTCTAATTCAGACTTTGGCAGGTCCACCATGGCCAGTCCGCGGATTGGCCGGCCAATGGCCGAAATCAAGCAAAGTTTCGGACTTTGACCGGTCAATTGGAGGCGCTGTTGGCCAATGCATTCATTGGCCGGCCAATCCGCACATTGGCCGACTGATTTCGGGCTTTGATCGTAACATTTACATTAATATTTACATATTAATAAAAATAAAATTTTGTCTGATCTGCACCTGAGGACAAATAGACATTTAAAAATTAATCGCTTACCTGGTAAAATCAAGAAACAAAATAATTTTGTATGTAATGTTGTCTCAGGCTCATAACAGTTTTCATCGACAAAAGCAGATATTGTTTCAATTATTCTCAAGTATTTCCTTTCAAAAGCGTTAAATAATATGTGTAGTAAATATACTTTGAAGCAATGTTTAGATTTTTTTTTAGTAGCACTAGGATATTGTCTATCAAATTTAGAACAATTCATATCACTATATTGGTCAATTACTTGCAAAACATGTTTGAGTAATAAATATACTATTTTGTCATGTGAATTGTCCGATGCAATCATTACAGCATCCAATCCATCTGCTTCAACACGAATAAAATCAGCTCCGCCATTGATAAGTAACTCTACTATTTTGTCATGTCCATTCTGTGAAGCAAGCATTAAAGCATCCCATCCATCTTTATCCACGCGATTAATATCAGCTTCGCCATTGATAAGTAACTCTACTATTTTGTCATGTCCATGTCTTGATGCAATCATAAAAGCATCCTGCCCATCTGCTTTAACACGTTTAATATTAGCCCCGCTGTTGATAAGTAACTCAACTATTTTGTCATGTCCATCCTCTGAAGCAAGCATTAAAGCATCCCGTCCATCTTCATCCACACGTTTAATATCAGCTCCGCCGTTGATAAGTAACTCTACTATTTTGTCATGTCCATTTCTTGATGCAATCATTAAAGCATCCGATCCATTATTGGTTACACGATTAATATCAGCTCCGGCGTTGATAAGTAACTGTACTATTTTGTCATGTCCATTTCTTGATGCAATCATTAAAGCATCCGATCCATTATTGGTTACACGATTAATATCAGCTCCGGCGTTGATAAGTAACTCTACTATTTTGTCATGTCCATTCTGTGAAGCAAGCATTAAAGCATCCAATCCTTCTGCTTCAACACGTTTAAGATCAGCTCCGCTGTTGATAAGTAACTCAACTATTTTGTCATGTCCATTCTGTGAAGCAAGCATTAAAGCATCCCATCCTTCTGCTTCAACACGTTTAAGATCAGCTCCGCTGTTGATAAGTAACTTTACTATTTTGTCATGTCCATTCTGTGAAGCAAGCATTAAAGCATCCCATCCTTCTGCTTCAACACGTTTAAGATCAGCTCCGCCGTTGATAAGTAACTCTACTATTTTGTCATGTCCTTTGCTTGATGCAATCATTAAAGCATCCGATCCATCTGGTACAACACGTTTAATATCAGCTCCGCCGTTGATGAGTAACTCTACTACTTTGGCATGTCCATTAAATGAAGCAAGCATTAAAGCATCACTTCCAACTACTTTAACACGTTTAATATCAGCTCCGCTGTTGATAAGTAACTTTACTATTTTGTCATGTCCATTCTGTGAAGCAAGCATTAAAGCATCCAATCCTTCTGCTTCAACACGTTTAAGATCAGCTCCGCTGTTGATAAGTAACTCAACTATTTTGTCATGTCCATTCTGTGAAGCAAGCATTAAAGCATCCCATCCTTCTGCTTCAACACGTTTAAGATCAGCTCCGCTGTTTATAAGTAACTTTACTATTTTGTCATGTCCATTCTGTGAAGCAAGCATTAAAGCATCCCATCCTTCTGCTTCAACACGTTTAAGATCAGCTCCGCCGTTGATAAGTAACTCTACTATTTTGTCATGTCCTTTTCTTGATGCAATCATTAAAGCATCCGATCCATCTGCTTCAACACGTTTAAGATCAGCTCCGCTGTTGATAAGTAACTTTACTATTTTGTCATGTCCATTCTGTGAAGCAAGCATTAAAGCATCCGATCCATTGTTGGTTACATGATTAATATCAGATTCGTTGGTAATAAGTAACTCAACTATTTTGTCATGTCCATTCTGTGAAGCAAGCATTAAAGCATCCCATCCTTCTGCTTCAACACGTTTAAGATCAGCTCCGCCGTTGATAAGTAACTTTACTATTTTGTCATGTCCTTTATGTGAAGCAAGCATTAAAGCATCCAATCCATCTGGTACAACACGTTTTATATCAGCTCCGCCGTTGATGAGTAACTCTACTACTTTGGCATTTCCATTAAATGAAGCAAGCATTAAAGCATCCCATCCATCTACTTTAACACGTTTAATATCAGCTCCGCCGTTGATAAGTAACTCTACTATTTTGTCATTTCCATGTTTTGATGCAATCATTAAAGCATCCTTCCCATCTTCATCCACGCGTTTAATATCAGCTCCGCCGTTGATAAGTAACTCTACTATTTTGTCATGTCCATTCTGTGAAGCAAGCATTAAAGCATCCTGTCCATCTTCATCCACAAGTTTAATATCAGCTCCGCCGTTGATAAGTAACTCTACTATTTGGTCATGTCCATTCTGTGAAGCAAGCATTAAAGCATCCTGTCCATCTTCATCCACAAGTTTAATATCAGCTCCGCCGTTGATAAGTAACTCTACTATTTGGTCATGTCCATATCGTGAAGCAAGCATTAAAGCATCCTGTCCATCTTCATCCACAAGTTTAATATCAGCTCCGCCGTTGATAAGTAACTCCACTATTTGGTCATGTCCATTCTGTGAAGCAATCATTAAAGCATCCTGCCCATCTTCATCCACAAGTTTAATATCAGCTCCGCCGTTGATAAGTAACTCTACTATTTTGTCATGTCCATTCTGTGAAGCAAGCATTAAAGCATCCTGCCCATCTTCATCCACAAGTTTAATATCAGCTCCGCCGTTGATAAGTAACTCTACTATTTTGTCATGTCCATACTGTGAAGCAATCATTAAAGCATCCTGCCCATCTTCATCCACTAATTTAATATCAGCTCCGCCGTTGATAAGTAACTCCACTATTTGGTCATGTCCATTCTGTGAAGCAATCATTAAAGCATCCTGCCCATCTTCATCCACAAGTTTAATATCAGCTCCGCCGTTGATAAGTAACTCTACTATTTTGTCATGTCCATACTGTGAAGCAATCATTAAAGCATCCTGCCCATCTTCATCCACTAATTTAATATCAGCTCCGCCGTTGATAAGTAACTCCACTATTTGGTCATGTCCATTCTGTGAAGCAATCATTAAAGCATCCTGCCCATCTTCATCCACAAGTTTAATATCAGCTCCGCCGTTGATAAGTAACTCTACTATTTTGTCATGTCCATTCTGTGAAGCAATCATTAAAGCATCCTGCCCATCTGTATCCACACGATTAATATCAGCTCCGCCGTTGATAATTAACTCCACTATTTTATCATCTCCATTATTCGAAGCAAGCAGAAACGCTTTACCTTCATCTTCATCTACACGATTAATATCGGTTTTGCTGGTGATAAGCAAATCTGCATTATTAGTATCATGTCCAACCTTTGATGCCATAGTTGAAATGTTTAATTCACCTTTAATCATAATATTAACATCCTCTCCTTTTTTAATAAGCTATCCTATAATTGTATCATTATCATAATGCGTTGAAAGAACTTTGAAAAAAAGTAATGGACCGTGCCGGATGCTTCTATAAGCAAGCTGGTCTTTTTTTTATCTTCAGTTCATGATGCAAGAGAGTATTATAATTTTCCAAACAGCCATTAAAACACCATAACACTGAGTTTTTTCTTTAGAACTATTTATTGGTGCCTAAGCATTTAGCTAAGCATGATTACCTACTAATTGTCTTTATTAATAATGCAGTTTCATATTAGCACCAGCTCTTTGTCGATCTTTTCTTGTTGTATTTTTATAGGCTGAATTTATTATCACACTTTATTAAAATGTCGACTTGTTTGTATTTCAAAATACAATCATTAATTCATCCTCTTTGAGTTTGATTTTCTTAATTAAAATATTTGTTTTAGCATTGTTTCCTAAATTTTATTAGATTAGTTTCAAATCTCTTAGCCGATATCAAACGGTCCTGTGGTATACCATACTTTTAGCAGCAAACAGATCCTAATTTATTCATTTAATTTGGCAACATAGTTCATCAAAAAATAGACTTTTAATTTTAGGAAAAAAGAAATGTATTTGAATAGCTTGTCTTGGCATTTGTATTAATTTCTTGTAAGACGTTGTAATCACATTTCATTTTTTTTTACTTTTTATTGCGCACCTTGCTATGTTGCGTTAGTGTCACCTTAATTCAGTTTCTTCCTTATCAAAGAACATATATTTTCATTTCGTACAAAGTTGTTTTACACAATGTGTCGTCTTTTAAAAGAATGTCGTTGCTATGTACTTGACTTATTAACAAGCGAAGCCTTAGTATAGTTTTGAATTCATTTGATGAGTTCACCTGAAAAAAAAAATCTTATCACATCTCGATTCCCAATGCTTTAAGTTGCATAGCTCAATATGTAAACAATTCCTTAAAGCCAAGATAAAAAAATGAATCTTTCAAGTTACAAGTCGTGTTCACTGTCGTCGGCCACGACGACTCATTACAATACTCGTACATGAAGTAAAACGTAGTTGTCTTAAAGCATTGAAGAAAGCAGGGATGTATTAGGAGGTTACAAAATCAACAGCAGAGAACCGGACAAAAAGGGAAATTATGGTTGAGGCACGATAATACTCAAAGAGATTTAAGTAAGAAGGTACTTGATATAAAATGACATATGTAATTTAATGTTAGAAATTTGAAACATAAAGGTACATTCTAGCAAAATGTAACTTTTGAAAATGTAGGTATTTAGTTTTAAAACAAACAGAAAATAACGTGGAGAAATGTATCCTTGTGTAGAACACGTTAAACATGACTCCAGTTAATCGTACAAAAAGTTAATATCAAGAAATGTACACAAATACTAAATTCAAATTTAAGAATATGTAGGAGTGTTTTAAGTGGATGTTGATGATGGTAACACGATGAGTATAGCAAACAATACTTATGGTAGCTTGCTGATAAACACACATACATATATACACGCACACTCGCTCGCATGAACTCTCGCATACACACGAATACTATGTGTTATACATGTCTACTTGTATGATTTCGAATGGTTTTCAATTTGAAATTATTAGTATAATACATATTCTCCAGAGAGAGCGATTATGGTACTAGTTTATTGATAGGCAATGATATGTAATAAACGTCAGAGATAAATTAATCGCTGGAAAACGACCACGGGTTTAATTATATATTTTTAACGTTCTGTAAATGGCTATCAACAATTAACGCAAAATGAATCAACGTAAATATATATGACAATTATAAGCCACTTAGCACTTTGTAAAGCAGATAGCTAACATAAAAGACAACACAAATAATCGCATTACTCTATATAGTATGTACTCTCTCTAAACTTTACCCGCTGTTCTCTATAGCATTCTATGTATCGTATGGATATATAACGGTCAACTGTCTTTGTTATTTCCTTCCCAATGCATGGCGTAATTGGTCATTTATATTGTCAGCCCAGCATGGGTCATCGCTATAAATCTACGACTAAGCTTAGTGTGTGTGTCCCATATGTGCCTCGTGATAGTGTACATCAGGGGTCTCCAAACTACGGCCCGCGGGCCAGATGCGGCCCGCGATGTCCTCTCATCCGGCCCGCGGAGATCTTTTTGTGCACGGAAAAAACGTTTGTTGGTGATGGCTGAGGAATTTTGCCCAGAAAAATCAAAGACATGCCTGGAAGAAACTGGCCCCCGAACTGAAATTTGATAGGTAATCCGGCCCTCGGACTGAAAAGTTTGGAGACCCCTGGTGTACATGATGTACCACGAAGTCATATTCAGTGTCAGACGCTTCATGTATCTTTAACATCTGACAACAATCTACAAGAACTAAAAACACAACCGTGTACTCGTTAACAAAACATTTTTTTAACTCCACTTTGCCTAGTTTCACCTTGACCCTATTTCCCCAATTCTCATGTTAAGAACAATAAGGGAGAGGGGGCTTTCTTAACCCATTAACTACGTTACACTCTAGCCTGTACATTGGGTGGCGCGATTAAGTGGGTCAACTTTAAATAAACTATAACAAATTGTGTTTAGTAAGTGAACTTAAAAAAAAACTACGTTTGGACGAATTAATTAACAGATAAGTAAATGTGCAAACCGAAGCAAAGTGCAGTGAAATTACGCGGAAGTGATCTCCTATACACGTACTAGTATATTCCTTATAAAACAGTAGGGGGAGGATTGCTACAAATAAAAATATGATTTATTGAACATACATTTCTACATACTAGCATTTTAGTTATGTTCAGTTGTGTTTATTTAGTACACATTTCTTGTAATCGAGAGTCAAATGGAGACTATTTACACATAATACTTTTATGAATGAAGATTTAGATGTAAGATACATACATGTTTTATCCCAGTTACGTTGACAGGCGCACACAACATTGACCTATTTGACAACTGTACTAAAGCATGGAGGAGAGGAGTGTCTGTTAGGTTGCTGGGTGAAACGGTTGCATCTGGCTTAAAATTATTTAAAGCTGTTCGTGACTTTAGCTGTCGTCCTTGCGTTAGATAGACGAGTACTGGGTCAGTTGCAACGGTTGGTTGATTTAGGGTCGCGTACAGACTAGGTTTGAAAAAAAAAGCTTCGGACGCTAAACAATGTAAGGAATATCATGGTTGACCAAAGCTTTTATTGAAATATATGTGTTTGTTAATTTTCTTATTTTCAGTGGATTTAAAAGCTTGTTATCTGTTATTATAAAGGTTATTATATTTATTTTACTATCCTTTTTTCGTAACTCGTTCTATATAAATGCCTACACATTTTACACACAATAGAGAAGACAATTTAAATACAGCTAAATACGAAAGAATATATACATTAATGTTAGAAAATAAATACAGTACATCCAACAAATCACCCCACCCTCCTCGTTTAAAACAATATAAGATATATTTTACTTTATCAATAAATACGTTTGTATAATTTAAGTTCTTAAACTAATAAAAATGACAACACACCATATTAGATGATGGGTCTAGGGCAGAAGGAAAAACCCGACACAGTCGACTACACATGTTCACAAGACGACTACGACACTCAATTAACTTGCGTGTAGGTGTAGACACTGTAGAGACAAGTGGTCTATAGACTCCATGTTTTGAATACAGCAGTATGTTTTTAAACGTTCTATAATACAATGGTACTAAAATGTCTAGGTACCTCTGTATTTGGTTTATTTATATGTATTTATGTGAACAGGTTTATGTTTACAAATTTACTATCAAACATAAATCACCGTTTTAAAATCTTCATTTTGTTTTCGTCTTATATACTACTAATGATTAATTTAAAAAAAAACAACAATAAGAAACATGTTTTACCTGCTAAAAATAAACTGCTGTGTGTGAGCAAACTAAATCACAAGTGCTTCAGGCAAACGTAACCAGCACACTGTCGAGCAGATAAACTTTGCTACAGAACACACATCATGCGATGTTTGAATTGGTTGGTTTTTTAGTGGCTATTATTTAAATTGTTAATTAAAGAATCGATAAAATCGATATATTGATAATCGATAAAGCGGCGCCCCAAGGAAATAATTTTTTAGGAACTTCATTAACGTTATGCCAACACAAAATTTACTACTCTACAAAAGTATGAAGGCACTTTAAAATGAGCAGTGTAAATTGTGGTTAGGTACTAATCATTATTTGTTTGAAAGAAAGAGGTGTAGTTTCGTCACTATTCTTCAAACTATACATACGCAAATAAATTATTGTTGAATTTTAAATGCCTAAACTAGCAATGATATGCATAGCAAAGTATGCTTATTATCGATTTTGATCTCCACAATTACACCGAATTAAATATATATATATATTCATTTGATAGCAAGCTTAGGAAAAATATAAAAACATCTAACTCGAAACTTGCTAGTACAGGTAGACTATACCAAAACCATATCACGGGGGTGGTCATGGGAGCGTGTAGGGAGAAGTCAAGTGGTAGTTGTAGTTAGATGGTGTTAGTAGACAGTCATGTGTAGTTATGGTAGGAGTCGATTTGATGTATAAATAAAAACTGTATTATATTGAATTGCACCTTTTGTGTAATTTTACAAACTGTACCAGGCGTATATAAGAATAGGCGATCTCCGCAGAAGGAATATATACAGTATGTTCATGCCGGAGCATTACAGTTATATAGAATATAATATTTCTTCAAGCCCACCTTCACATTTGGAAGAACTCCACCTTTACTGTCAGTATACGTCTGCTGTTAACTATTTCAGTAGATATCACGGTTTACTAATTTAGTGCTATAAAATTAATATATTGAACCAACTTGTGTTAACTGTCTTAGGTGACTTAAAGACAGAAATTTAGTTTACATTGAAATTAGAACAAATATATTAGAATATGGTTTATGATATGGGTAGACATAATAACACTTCGATAACATTAAATTAATCAAGTGCAATTTATTATTTTGTGCAAAAGTCGGCCAAGATTTTGACATTCGTTCAATTTTTTTTCTTGTCACCAGAAAACACGAACTAACTTGACTTATTGTTCAAATCGTAGAGCCAAAAATTATTTTATAAAATCAATCAACCGAAGCCTAAATTACTGTTCTTGTATTGATCAAGCGACGAATGTGTAAAATTACGGCATACTTTGACCTACCTAACATGTTGGAGACAACTAGATAGAACTTCTTTATCAATTAACACGAGACAACTATATAGAACTTGTTTATTAATTAACACGAGACAACTAGATAGAACTTCTTTATTAATTAACACGAGACAACTAGATAGAACTTCTTTATTAATTAACACGAGACAACTAGATAGAACTTCTTTATTAATTAACACGAGACAACTAGGTAGAACTTCTTTATTAATTAACACGAGACAACTAGATAGAACTTCTTTATTAATTAACACGAGACAACTAGATAGAACTTCTTTATTAACTAACACGAGACAACTAGATAGAACTTGTTTATTAATTAACACGAGACAACTAGATAGAACTTCTTTATTAATTAACACGAGACAACTAGATAGAACTTCTTTATTAATTAACACGAGACAACTAGGTAGAACTTCTTTATTAATTAACACGAGACAACTAGATAGAACTTCTTTATTAATTAACACGAGACAACTAGGTAGAACTTCTTTATTAATTAACACGAGACAACTAGATAGAACTTCTTTATTAATTAACACGAGACAACTAGATAGAACTTCTTTATTAATTAACACGAGACAACTAGATAGAACTTGTTTATTAATTAACACGAGACAACTAGATAGAACTTCTTTATTAATTAACACGAGACAACTAGATAGAACTTGTTTATTAATTAACACGAGACAACTAGATAGAACTTCTTTATTAATTAACACGAGACAACTAGATAGAACTTCTTTATTAATTAACACGAGAGGAATGTGGTGTAGATATGACATCTGAGTGTTTCATCATGATTACTTTGGGCCTGAGAGGGGTACATTTCAAACATTGACGTAAGCCTGGACTTATAATACCGGGGTTCAAACATTTTTACACGCCCTTCTCCATTCCCTTCACACACCTACACACACATATTGCTGGTGTTAAAAATAAAACAATTATTATATTGTGTCTAGTGGTGCCGATCACAATGTGCTACATACATTAACACTATAGACTAGAGCAAAGTAAAATCCTGCAGCAGCGATCGAAGAATACGTCATTGATTTTTTTGTTCACTGTATAGATGGGTGTAGATAAAACCGCTGGAGTCACGTCACTGAACTGTAAAGTTTGGCTTGGCTGTAGCCTACCTACGTGTGTCCCGTTGTGCTAAAATCGATAAGATTTAATTACAGAGATCTCAGGTGTCAGTGGATAAGATTTCATGTTCAAACCAACCCAAACCAGGTCCTGCTACCTTAGTGTAAATATTCAATCAGCTTTAAAAATATATAGCAGAGCTGTTAACTATACTACAAAAACTTGATTTTGATATTCTTTGTGGTAAAGAAGTAACAAAAATTGTTTAATATTAGCCTATTTGAAATTTTTAAAAAGTATTAATTTAAATAAAAAGACTGTATAACTCATAAAAAAATATCAGCGGATACTAGTATATACTTTTTATTTAAGAATTTTTAAAAAAAGGCCGATTATAGCCAGGAAAAGATGCGCATGCGCAACTAATCCTAATCCTAACCCTAACCCTAACCCTAACCTTAACCTTAATCCTACCCCTACCCCTACCCCCAACCCTAACTCTAACCCTAACGCTAACCCTAGCCCTAATCCTGACTCAACTATTAAGTTCACTACGCATGCGCAGAACTATCTTTTGCCGACCAAATGGAGACGCTTGGGCGTAGAAAAAAATATATGAACCCTCATTTAAGATAAAAAATATTATGTTTTACCTAACATTTTTTAAAAATATGTCTTGCATAAACCTGCCCAAATAACGTAAATAAAATGGGGTGTATCAAAAACATTATACATTCATCCTCCATTCAATTTTTCTAATTTCATGTAATCTATGGTTTATAGAGCAAACTAGTTATTTAACGTGCTTTGAATTTTTCAGCGCTAACATTAACCAAAGACTAGCGCATATAAGGGAATAGAGCACGTTGATCTCACACATGTCACTCTAAAACAATACACGGCTGCCAACTAATAGAGCGCTATATTGAGACACTCTATATTTAACTCGAACCAATCAATATCAATAAGAAATCGTTGACATAAAACCTATTAAAGTTATTTAAACATAAATGTAAGGAGATATTTATTATTATAGTTATGATAAACATCCATCTAACCCAAGAAAAAAATGTGTTTAGATGAACTGAATATATTTTTATTTGAATAAACAAAATTCATTATTTATTAAAACACTACTACCTATTAAAGTTATTTAAACATAAATGTTAGGAGATATTTATTATTTTAGTTATGATAAACATCCATCTAATCCAAGAAAAAAAATGTGTTGGGATGAACTGAATAGGCTATATTTTCATTTGAATAAACAAAAATTAATCATTTATGGAAACAATACCTACTTAAATAGTTCAAACTCATTATTTGATTATGAGTTATGTGTACAACAGAATTACTGCAATATGGACTGTCTAAAATAAATAGAAACAATAATCAACAATGGAATTCCCGTATCAAAAAAAAAATTTAAAAAATAAGGCACGTAACTGAATCTTTCCAACGTTTGTGATAAAATAAGTTATCTCCCTTTTAAATTATCGCTGTAAAAGCAGATATTTTCTTCTGGTAAATAAGAGACTAATTGGAAAATTCCGACCAGTAGCTATTTCAAAAAGTTAGATCTTAAATTGTTAAAAATACACACAAAAAAAACAGAGCATATCCCCTTAAAGTAAAAAAAAAAGTAGACAATGGGATGATGATGTAGAGTTCATATGTTTATTGATCACCAGGCATATAAAGTGATAGTGTGGTCAGCACTAAGCCTAGCCGCCTTTACTTTCCGTTAAAAGTGAGTTAGGTACCATCATCAGGCATATAAAGTGATAGTGTGATCAACACTAAGCCTAGCCGCCTTTACTTTCCGTTAAAAGTGAGTTAGGTACCATCATCAGGCATATTAAGTGATAGTGTGGTCAGCACTAAGCCTAGCCGCCTTTACTTTCCGTTAAAAGTGAGTTAGGCACCATCACCAGGCATATGAAGTGATAGTGTGGTCAGCACTAAGCCTAGCCGCCTTTAATTTCCGTTAAAAGTGAGTTAGGTACCATCACCAGGCATATAAAGTGATAGTGTGGTCAGCACTAAGCCTAGCCGCCTTTACTTTCCGTTAAAAGTGATTTAGGTAACATCATCAGAGTTTGCTGAACTCAGGGGCGTTCTATTGACTTGAACCCTGATTAAAAATTGACACTCTAGGGCCAGCAGTCTAGTCCCCTAGTGCCGAGCCGTTCCATACACAATATAATAAACATCATGTCATTCTTTATATAGCACATTTGAAACTCGCCCTACTGGGGTGCCGCAGTAGCTTCTTGGCGATGGGATAAAAGATGCATTAACGCATAAAAGAACAAACCCACAAATAAATCCACATACTTCCATTTATATATAGACATATGTGATGACGTTTCGATTTGTCTGTGTACATGAGTATATTACTAAGTCTGACGCAACAACCAAGTTAATCAAATGAATCGCAACAGTTGTAGTTATATGTTTGGTTATTTTCAATTCAAATATTAGTGCTAAGTATCCCGGAATTCGAGTTTAAACAAATGGCAATACAGTACAACGAGTCGAGCCATGAACTTTTCATATTATTTGCTATTCACCGTATTCGAAAACGATCGCACAAATTATAATTTTTTATTTTGGAAACGTAAGTCCTTTTTTTAAAGTTCTTTATTAGTCATTTGTTTCAATAATTTGAAGACAACTG